TTTTTCTTCGGAACGAAACCCATGGGTAACATTTTAATTTTAAAAGTGGGTCACCGTTATCAGATAAAAAAAAAAATAAAATAAAATAAAATATAAAAACAATATTACTTTATTAATAACTTTACTTTTATTCAATTTGAATTCCTCACTTTAACTTTCCTCCCAGAAATATTTTTCTTGCGATAAAATCAGATTATACGCTGCATCAAAGGAATTACCTACCTACCTACTTTATGTTTCACAAAAAAGTAATTTTCTATAAAATCTAGAAAATTTTATGTAACGTAGAACAAATGAATCAATTACCGTAACTATAATCCATTTATTTTATTCGAATAAATTGACATTTTTCATTATTATTGATTCAGTAAAGATCTTTTTACTATGGTATAAATAATTAAAATCAATACAATTTGCCAACTTGAATGGGATAAACATTGAAAAAATACAATGCCAGAAGTCCAACGAATTAACACGAACTATCCACAAATAGCCTATAAATTACAACTATAAAAAATAATAAATTATATTAAATAGAAATAAAACAATTAGACATATTATAAACTAACCAGTTACATGTCTAATAATCGGAACTCGAGCTGAACAGTTGAACTTATTATTAAATACCCGCCGTCAAATTATATAATGTCTCTATTGCGATCAGTAAAGAATAAATAAAAAACATATCAGATCAATTATATGATATTTTTGGACCATAAATCGATTCGACAAATAAAATTATAGGAATTCAATTTTGATGATATTAAAAAAAAATAAAGTAAATACTTGTAAATAGTTGATAGCCATCAGTTTTGAAGCTTTAAATCGAATAAAACCAATATTTAAAAACATTTTCATGAGAAAATTTAAAATCATGTTAAATATTGTCATTCCAAGAAACACGCTGTGCGATTAAACGAATTAAAAATATATATATTAAATCATATTAATATTATCATGCTGTTAATTCACGAGCAATCCATAAATAAATAAGAACATTGTGTTGCCGTGTTGGACAATACAAATATGTATCAAAAGTTATATTATGTAAAATTTACGAACATTACAAAAACATTAGGGTAATATTTATATATTATATTGTATCGTGTAAGTTGTATTTATTTCGTTATATTTACAATATGGTTGACATCTGCATAATATTACGAATAATGTTTACGTCACGAGGCTCTAACGATTTGAGCGTTTGGCCTCGATGACTACACCACCGAAAATAATACGTCATGTTAATAAAATGATCAAGGACTGCCTAGGTGAAAAGGTGACCATAAAAAACTTAATAAATACTCGAGGCGTACGTAAAAATGTGCGCAAAGGCCGTATTGAATAATCACGCAACAGTTAATATTAATATCAAAATTATTCAATAAGATATATTATTATAAGACGACGCGTTTACAAAACATGATACGTGATAATATGAGCCATATCGTCGTGATAGCAATAATCATAATAATATTTGAACAAACGCAATAACGCGATAACAATAAATAAAATAATAAAAAAGATAATAAAAAAAGAATGGCGGTACAATTTGTATCGCGTATAATAAAATTACGCGACTCCAGTTCCCGCTCCGATGACGATTATGACGGATGACGAATTGACGACGACGTCAGTCAGGCCACTGGTCAGCTGTTTTTCAGGTGCGCGCCGGCACAACAACAACGGGCAGACAATAATTAATTGACAGTAAAATAATTATTGTCGATAATAACAACTACTGACGGCACCCAAAACACGCCGATTGATCGGTACACCGCGGAGATCGCGGTGTACAATACGGCGATGGTCGGGACGACAACGCGACAATATAAGTGTCCGCGTAAAATGACAATCGCGAGATACAATACAGTAAAACCTGTCTTGTGCGGAATTGCACGGGACCAATAAAAATTTCCGTTTTAGGCAGGTTTCCTTATAACTGAATAAAACGGAAAATGCCGTACTATAGAGTTACGATATTCTGCACGATTAAAGTTGTAACATTTTCCGGTCAATAATAAAGATAAAAATATTAAAAATTAATAAATATATTAATTAGTAAATAATAATTATAATAACGCTATTCCCCTTTTCACTTTCTTCGATTACTTTTATTTTTTCATTTAAACTTAAACAAATTTTAGACACTGTGAGAACAAGTAGGTAAGACGATACAAAACGACAGGTAAACTTCGACTATACGGTGACAATAATAAGCGCTAATTTATAGAATAAAGATAAAATTTAGTTATCTATCGATATGTATAAATCGCTGACCTTAATAATTGTTTAGTAGCAAAATAAATGTGGGCATCAAAAATATTTTTGTTCATTTTATGATGTGTTTTTCCGTTTGTTTAAGGTATATATGATTTACGGGACCAAAATATAGCTTTCCGTTTCATTTAAAACAGATTCCGTTTTATCAAGGGTTTAATCCTATGTTAAACTATAGAAATCTGCCGGGACCATAAAAAATTTCCGCGCAGAACAGGAATCCGTCTTATCAAGGATTCGCATAAGACAGGTTTTACTGTATATAATATATATATATATACACATTGATACACAATTTGGATCGCAAGACAGCAGACGCGAGAAACTATGAAATTTATACTTTAAGTAAGAGACGAACACCGCGTTACACAATTTATGTGTACATATCGGTTTTACGCACTGCGGAGAAGACCGCGAAGTACGAAGTAATATATGCGCATGATGTGTACGACTCGGCAGGACGCAAGACGGCTTGCGACGCGGTAAGCAAGTGCGAGGGGTACGATCGGTCGACGCGGCAAAACCGATTCGACAAAACGAGCGGTTTGACGCGATCGTACGGACTCTTTCGTTACAAAAGAACCGAACGGAGTCTGCGGCGGCAACGTGACGACGGGCTGGTTGACGAGCAAGTGTCGCACGGGGAACCAACTCTTCGTCACTCCGGTAACTCCGATATCGCCGAAAATATTGCTGGCCCGTATCGTGGCCGTCGACCCTATAGTTGGCGAAGTAGGGCAAAATGAACTTGGTTTATCTTTACGGCCTTACGGGCCTTTTATATCTCCGTATATCGTATTGAAACAGCCGTTGACCACAGGGGAGACGAATCACCGATACGGCGATAATATATATATATATATATATATATATGTATAAATTCGTATCGTCTGATGAGTTGCGCGAACAACGAAAATGCCTTCATACTTTAAGCATTTAAAATTGTTGATGGTTTATTATTTCCTAAGTTCGATAACATAAGTTTTAATAGCAAATGAAAATTTAACTCGATGGACTTCTTTTATATACCATTCAATTCATACCTATTTTATGTATTTGAACTTTGAATATGATATTAATTTTTTTCTTCGATGCTGTTTTATAAATATTAAATGATAATTATATTACATGAGCATCAATGGCTAACAACATTTCGTATATCATGTTTTATTTATAATATAAATAAATAGCTTTATACAATTTTAATTCAAAAAATGTTTTACACATCGTTTGACAAAAAAAAAAAAATAAAAAAAATATGATATAAAAAATGTACATTATGCTTTTAATAAATAAAAAAATTACTTTTAGTATTAAGTCACAATATTTGTCAGACAGTTGATTGGTAGTTTGGTAGTTTATAATTTCATAAATCAAACGTGATAGTGTCACATTCCATATTTTATTATTAATTTATTGACAATCAACATAATTAATAAGTACCATTATTTGTTTTTTAAATTTACTAGTTTTTATATTACTAATGTAGTATATATGTACCTATCTTATCGCCAATATAATTTTAAACCACTCGTCAAAATAAAGTAAACCCAGTAGTTAATTAAAATTATTATTTATTGAATTGTATTTTTATTATATTGCTATTTGTTATAAAGGTACCTATATAATGTCACAATATTAAACAATTTCTGAAAAAATAAAAATGAAGGTCTTTTTTATTTCATTTTTTAGAATTATCTTTATGTATAGGTAGGTATTAACTAGTTAAAAAGTTGATTTTTTTTTTTAACTTTTAACTTAAGTCAGCTGTTAATTTTTAAACTAACTTATGAACTTAACTAGTTTAATTTAAAGTTAAAATAACTTAGCTTTTCCAAGTTGATTTAAAAATAATTCATCAGGTTGAAAAAATGTTCATGGTTTTATACGTAAATATAAAAATAAAAATAATTTAAAGTATGATAATAAAATCATTTCTGTTATTATTCTTGATAAAATAGTAGACAGACATAAAGCCACAGAACAAACATTATAACAATATTATTATAATATTTTTGTAGTACAAATTTTAAAAATTACATTGTTGTTTAAGTATAATAAATATTTCAATATCAAAAAATAAAATAAAAAGTATATTTAAAGGTTTTAATGTTTTTGTTATATATATATAATTATAAAGGATTTTAATTATAAATTGTATACTATTTGAATTACAATCTCAATTTTTTTTACTAAAATTATGAATTTCAAATAGATTTGTTTAATCAAATAAAAATATTTATCTTTAAATTTATATTTGATATAGAAATTAATATTTGTTGAATCATTAATTAAGATGTGTATATAGTCTAAATACTTAATAAATTATGTAAAATGAAATACGTATATGCACTACACATTATGATTAAATAAAATTGTTTATCATGATTTAGGAAATTAGAAAAAACACGGTCACTCGATCTTTATGTGATCTATATTTTTTCACTAATTCAAAAAAGTAAACTTTTTTAACTAAATTAACAGTATATTATTTTCAATATTAACTTATAACTTATCAAATTAAATTTATAATTTGTTAACTGTTAATTATAACTTATTGATTTAACTTAATTTGAATTAATTATTTTCGTTAACTTACCGGCATGTGTTTAAGGTGCCTACATTTTACTTAAACAACAGCAATTAAAAAAATATGTGCTTAATTAATATTGAGTAGGTAGATGGAATAGAATAATATTTTATGTTTGTTTTCAATGTAGACGCCAGAAACAGTGACAGACAAAGATGAATTGGTCGTGACCACAAGTATTCTAAGTTTCGTACTTTGGGGTCCAAAATCTGCAGCTGTTAATGAAAATGATGACAATGAATCAACTTTAGTTTGTCATGCATACAATCCGGTCATCAAAACATTTGACCGCCATTACGTCGAAACCAAAATAACATTGGATGTTCAATGTAAGTTATTGACAACATAATATTATGTAAAGTACCTGCTATTTATTATCTCTGTGTACTCTATATATTATAATATGACCATATATAATTTAAAGTGTGTCATTGTATATGTATATGTATAGATAATTATAATTAATGGCAATTTTTTTTAAATTTCCTGTATACATTTTTTTTTAAAGTCGATTCTACTAATTTTGGTTCATCCTAGAACATCCAAAGTATAAGATACAAATATGTTTTACACTTCTCTGATATCATACACGAAATTTAATTTTGCTATTTTTTTTTTACATATTAACGGTTTTTATTGCTATTTTGCTAATTCAGTGTTATTAGTACTATTTTTGGGTATATTTTCACATAGGTCCTAATATATTTTATACTCGCATTTTGTTGAAAATAATGATTTATTTGGTTATAATTTTAAAAATATTTGAATTATCGGAAAATTTTTTACTTTTTAACCGTAAATCATAAAATTGTAAAATTATATTCAATTTTTTTCTAATAAACTTATTATTTTTCCAAGTTAAATGCATATTTTTGAGTTTTTAAGTGCATATTCAAGAGCTAAAAAGTAACATTTTTAGTACTACAACTTTCGAAACCATGATTATAAGTTTCTAGTCTTAATATTTTTTTGTGTATAGCTAATTATAAACAAGTTATATACTTTATTAAATGTCGTGCGTATTAATTATTGACATAGTCTTCGGGATTGAAATTACACAACTTAATCATTTACGTTTTATATTTTCACTACGATGACTTATATTTTAAATAAACATTGCCTTATACCCTAAACTTAGAGATTCGTATGCGTCATTTAAATAATATTAATAACAAACGAGTTATCTACTGACTTTAATAAATACATTTAATTGAAATTTTAAAGCGTCTAATCTTTAAGTTACAAAAAAATAAATAAATTTATCTGAACTATAGTGGTCTCAAGATTACTATTCATTATTGATTACTTCCGAAATATGAGTGTACCGTTGACAATATTCCTAACTTCGATCTATCGTAAAAACTGTGAAAAAAGTTTATAATAAATATTGCCAGATATTATAGGGTTATGCATATTTATAGTTTAACTCTTTAACTCTATAAATAATATGTTTTTATAATATTTAGTATAGAAAATATTATCTTAACGTGCAAAAGAACAATTGTAAAAAATAACTATAGCCTTTTGCTACCATAATTATTTCAATAATGTACAACTATAATGTAATATTGTTGTGTATAGTTAATTAAACGTATGCATTTTGTTGCATAATTATTTAATAATTAAAATCAAATATTAAACAGTTAATGTAGTATATTATATGGTATATCATAATATATCACAGTATACTCTTCGCACATCATTTATATTGCCTACATACATCGTTATTGTATTGTATTTTTTTGTTATTTTTCAAGACCCTCCAATAGTAGAGTTACGATTTGGAAATCGTTTGCTGGACACCGGGAGTATTGGTCCTGGAGATGACGTTTACTTCGAATGTGCGGCCCGAGCCAATCCGTCAACTACCATCCGTTACAGTTGGTACCACAACGTGAGTAATCGATCTTTCTGGTGTTTATTTGAATTGTACATTTCGATTTCGTACCTATATATTTTGCCAATAACAGTACAAAGTGTTAATAATAACACATATCTTTAAATTCTGTGAACAATAAAATATTACTGTTTTATACACTTACTTTAAAACTTTTTAAGCCCAATTTTAAATTAAATATACTATATTGTGTGTACGTTTTAAACCGTCATCTGGGTTCATTTTCATGTAGGGGAATGACTATTTTCTGGAAATTGAGAGTTAATACATCATCAATACTTCACGTATGAATCTATACTATACGTATACACGTGCGTTAAAAGTGATAATAATAACTATTACTAGCGCATTAAATTTATTAAGTTCCGCGTAGAAAAAATTTAATAGTATTTGAAAATACAATCAATTATATAAATATCAATTTAAATTTAGATAATTATTTTTAATTTCAAAGTTTGAATCATTGTATTCCATAACAATTCACGTGTTGTATTATAAATTTTAAGTTACCATTCAAAGTTTGACTATGTACTTATTTAGTAACCACCAATGTAAATTCCTTAAATGTATTCACCTCTGTTAGAATATTATGAAACAACATTAGAAATAAATACATTGAGTTATAAATGGTGCTAAAGTAGATCGAATAATAAATAATAATATATGACCGATGAGAAATAAATATATTTTACCATAACTGAATTAATATCATAACAGTCCATACTCATACACAGCAGCATTGTAAATAACTGTGAATACCTATTTACTTATAACATTTTTATATTCTAATAGATTAAAACTTAAAATTATGTAAACCAAAATATCTAAAATATATAAATTAAAAAGTTTAAACAAATTAAAATATTCACAATACCCGTCCCCCATAGAAATACCTAAATATTTTATTCTTAAATCGAAACATAATACAATACAAAAAATAATTATAACATAACGCATTCAAAGTTCTATAACATACTATATTTGTCAATAGAGTATGAGTATCTGTAAAAATAACGATAATGGATGTATTGTTTATTTTAAAGTACTATGACTATATTATTAACATGTGAACGCTAAAAACGTAGGGTTGAAGTATGATTTAAAGGGTAGGGAAAAATGGATGTCCTCAAACACAAGTATTATTATTTTTCCATGCCTACACTGCGCCACCCCGTCTATTTATCATTGTTGGAAGATTTATTATTTACACCGTAGGAGTAATTTTGTAGTTGTCATCTTTACTATACACTAACAATAATTCTCGGGTAGTAGGTATGAAAAGGATCATTTACAAATGAAAAGCATATTATAGAACCATCATCTCATATTATATTATATGTAATATTGTGAATACATCACTTGTCTCCTTATTTTTTTTTTCAAGTTCTCATATAGAGTTTCTATCATGGACCGAAACGGTAGTAGAAAATGACAAATCATGTGCATTGCATTGATAAATAATATAAAAAGTATACATTTAAACAATCATGGTATAAGAATCGACGTACACTATTCATATTAACTACCGATATGTGTATACTATATAGCTATGCGAGACCTACATAATAGATAAAAAAAAAAAGACAAAAACGTGATCACCCCGGATAAAAAAATAAAATAACACAAAACCCTCAATGGTGAAAAACCACAATAGACCTAATAAACTTAACTCCTGATAATTTATCATTGCTTTGAAAAGTAAACAAATAAAATAACATTTTATCGCATGACTGAAAATAAATGAGTTACAATCTTACAAAGACACCAAAAACTATCTATTATAGATATTAATGAAAAGCACTAGGTAACTTGTAAATTGACAAGTTACTTTTTACTCTGATGACTTTTTAATTTAACTCGTTACCGAAGACTAATATTGAATAGGAATCATAGACATGTATCTAGTTCCTGTTATGTGATTTTTAAATGCGACTTATTCGAAAAATTATAACTTAATCAAATTTACATTATCTAAAATCATATACTAATACTTTAATTAAAATTAAAATATTATGTTTTACTCTTGAATCAGTTCTTCCTTTTTCTTTTCATTATTATGAAATTATTACTTTAATTTTTTACTTATTTATTTTTACAATTATTTGAAATTCAAAAGTTAATTAAATATAAGCTAAACTACAGCCTTAACGTTCAACGTTTTGATTATAGTAAAGACGAGAGACATTATTAGTGATTAAAATATCAAGAAAATACGTTGTTAAATCACATAGCTTAATAATTAATTATATTTATAAATTTTAATTAAAAATGTAGTATATAACTATTATTTTATTGATTTATAATAAACTTATTACTATAAATAGTAACTTAGATAAATATAACTATCACAATGGTGTTTTTAAATGTATTTTTTAATAAGTAACTTGAGAAAGTCAATATTTTTTTTAGCAGATATAAAAACTTAACAGATTACTCTTTTTTATAACTTGTAAATTAATTTTAGTTATACAGTGGAATACTCAAATATTAGATAACTCAGCTAACCAAATTTAATCGATACCTAATTTTCTTTACTTTATTAATTTACGCTATGAGTAAGTATTGAGTCGTAGTGGCATACCCAGAATTTTTTTTTGGTGAGAGTAAATCTAGCAAAAGAAAATAATTAGATGCCAAAATATTTTTTTCTTAAATTATATATAATTACAGTAGTTATTTAATTCATGTATACTCAATACAGCATAATATATATACGAAATATATGTTCTGTTTTATGTTAGTTAGGTACCTACATAATATGTGATACGTTTTAATTATAATATTAATCTTTTTATTTTTATATAGCTATAACATAAATTAATTATTTGATTCAGTCTTCTAATTGCATTATTCTGAGTATTCAGAATATAATTTGATTTAAATAAATAAATGTGTATGTATAATGTTTTTTTTTACGTACTACATACACATTATTTTGAAATCGATCAACAATTTAGAAAATATTTTTTTATGAAATTTGAAGCCCTTAAAAATGACATCTTTCAAAAAACATACTATTATACCATAATATTTTGATATATATAAAAAAAAATGAACAAGTGGATACCGCTGTACTTTATAATATTTTTCAAACAGGTGTGAAGTGGGTCACTGTAATAGATATATAACATTTGAATTCAATGATACTACATTATTGTATACGAAAAGCAAATCTGAACGGAGATAGACCATCAGCCTATGTCACAAAATAATTTCATGTTTTTTTTTTTTTATTGCTATTAAAGTAATTTATTTTACTGTTAGTGTTACGATAAGTTAACTTTAACTTTAAGTTAATTTTTGACGAATACTCATTGCATTTATCATATTAATATTTAAATATAATAATAATTTTATATTTGTACCATATATTATATTATTGTTATTGCATTTTATGACAATACTAGATAACTATAAAACAGCGTGAATAGATTCTTAAGTAGATAATATCTTAAAATTAATCTAAATATTTTGAAAATTTCGTTGCATAAAGTAAATTTTATAATATACCTACATAAAAGTTTGAATTCCCCCAGTCCTCAACACATAATATTTTTGAATTATAACAAAATGATGAACATCGTTTAAATATGTAGTTTTGTTTAAATTTGAATTTCAAATGTCTATAAAAATAATCATGTAGTTTCGTACTTAATTTTTTTAATTCCAATATTAAACACTTATGAGTAATATTTTACTGAATTTACAAACCTTAGCTATAAAAATTTAAGATTTTATACATTTTTACTATAAATAACGTATAAAAATACTCATTTTTAAAATTTTTTCTTTGTTTACTAAAAAAGTTCTGGCTATTGTTTATATAGTTTAAATATTCTTTATATTTTAACATGGTTAAATAAATAAATTACTTACTGTACGTGAATTGTAATAACCTGCATTGAAGAACTGAAATTTCCATGTCTTATAATATCAATGCCTAGGTATCTACTTCATACTTTAATTTTTTTTCTTAAATAATTTTTACCTTTCAGTTATTTGCTTGTACCTATTTACTTTTTTTAAAATTTAATTAGTGTTTCCTTAATAAGTTAAATTACTTACCATGTTTATAAATTTAATATATAATTTAAAATGCATAAACATTTTATCACAACTCATAAAAACAATCAAACTATTATTTAAATTTAATAAAAAAATAAAATATGTATAGTTTTATTATCTCATAAATTGAATTATTTTATTTATTTTACATTTATAAATATGATTGAATATATGCATATAGTTACATAATATATATGGCTATATGTCCATACATGGAATTTTTATTAATAACTAAAAATCTTTATTATTCATAAGTTAACGTAATCATTCATACATATTTCTTGAACAATAAATACTAAATAATTTCGTTCTTCAATATGTTGTTTATTAGTAAATATTAAGATTAAAATTTGATATAAACTGCAATATTACTTGTTATATTGAAGGTACTGTTAACATTTATGAAACATGTTTCTAAAAATATTATTAAATTATTTACTTGTAATATTATGTAATAATATTAGCTTTTATAAAAAAAAGTCATTTATTTACTTTGAAGTACACCGAAAAATAATAATCAGATTACACTATTTGAATACTGACTAACAATATGTTTAATCACTATTTACATATTATGTATCTTAAAATAGTTATATAATATTTTAATGTAGGTACCTAGTACAATTTACATTCAGTGGCCTAAACTCTGAGGGTAAATCTAATAAATAATTATAAACAAATATTTAGTTATTTAGTTATTTGATATAAATATTTTAAATTGTAACGTTGGTTGTGTCCACATAATCAAAAAGATTTTACCAAAACCGTTATTGCTTTATGTACATTTAGATTTAACCGGAAAATTGTTCATATAAAAGATTAAAGTAACCTATTTTCGTATCATTCATATTATAACCTCAAATATGGTGAGAATTTCACTAATTCGCATCAAATTTCATATAAAATACGTAGTATATTTTATATTAAGTTTGTATAAGTTACAAAACGTATATATAGCAATCAATTTATCAATATTATCAATATCAAGTAATGACTATATAAATTTATTCAATAGTTATTTGTTGCTAACAATTTATTAAATCGCCCAATAAATGTGATTGATTAAATCAATCTGACGGGTAACTGGGTATCTATAGTACCTACCTATACCTACTGAATAATTAAAATTAAATCAATTAATGAATAGTGTAATAATTCAATCCGTGAAATCTTCTGTAACTGTATAAACAAATGACTATCGAACAATCCGAACGAAATAAAACGATCAATTTTAATATTTTGGTTTAAAGACAGTGAAAAAATGCATTCGTTTTCACACAACATATCATTCGCCAATTTATAATTATATCAGTTCTATTTAACTCACACTATTATTAAGCAAAACGATTTTATTTTGATGTCGTCTAATAATAAGTCTACTTGTTCGTTCATTCACATATTTATTCGAATAATTTATTCATATCAAAGGAAGTTATTTGTAGGCGATAATCAATTTATTATTAGTTTATGGTGCTTAGCACTGTGCGGTGTAATGGTGGCTTTGCATTGAGTTAAAATTATTAGTAATCAATAATTATTGCGTTCACTACATAGTGTACATTATATAAATCTAAATTCGAGAAAACGCTCAAACCTGCAGCTTGACGCAATCAAATTTGTGGTACCTACCTACGTATAAACCATTAGTGTATTCGTGTATTATTTGGCGAATGAGAACTGGCGTTATCGATGGCCGTGTGTATATAGGTACATTCGTAATATATCAGTAGGTTTGTGCGTGAAGTATGTCAAACCACTCTTAGAATGAATTGCTTTAAAATGTATTGTAACACAATAATTCAGATCTAATTTGTTTTCACCTGTCATTGAGTGTCTCCATCGCCCCGATAACTGCTTTGTTGTACTAGCTCGAGCTAATTATACACACTATAATATGTACAATGTAACCCTTTAATTATTATAACGTGTAGGGTGTTCGGCTGATGCAAGAGACTGAGAAAAGACGAACGGACGACGGAGACAAAAGGGGTGAAAAGAAAAACAACAGACTGGCAGGTCACATTATACAGTACAGCCAGTTGGGTAGTTTGGTTTTGCAATCCGTGAAGGCCGCTGCAGCGGGAAAATATTCGTGCCAGGCGACAAATGGGATCGACAGCGACAGTAACGATAACAAAACGATTAGTAATACTGTTCGATTATATGTAAAACGTGAGTACAATATTATTATTGGCATTTCATATTATATTTTAAAATATCATTAAATTATCTCTCGATTAGCTATGAAACCAATACGAAAAGTTAGCGAGTACCTATAGCCTATAGTATGTATATTGTATTATAATTAAAAATACGTGAAATACATAAAAACAAAAATTTAAGTAAAATATGAAAATATTCTATGAGTAACTCATCAAAGAATGTTTATTCAAACAAATATTTATATTTTTCATCATTAAATCAACAACTAAAAATGTCATTCACTTTGGACTCGTTAATAAATAGAAAAAAATTTACTTAAATACAATTTATGGACTAGCTGTACATATATTATAAATAATGATAAAACCGAATAATATTTTAATAATTGTATGTTTCTTATAATCACGAAGATGTTCCGGTGTGTCAGCATCGCGAAGATATTTATATTATTACAAAAAAATCCGACGCAGCCACTGGGCCAGTGATTCGATGTCGGGCAAGTCATGGGCATCCACCGACCAGTGAATATCATTGGAAATTTTATCCTGAACAAGCGGAACCGGAAACCCACAATAGAAATTCCCTTGAATCCAATGAAATGACATTAACTGGGCGATCAATAAGAGAACTAGATTCATTACTTACGGAAACGGCTGTCCAAGGCAGTGATGGCGGAATATCATATACATTTACTACAAGTACGCCAGTATTAAAATCGTATTTATCAGTCGTATCGGCCGCAGCTTCAGCCTCTTCAAGTGCAGTTCGTCCAAACTTTCTTCACGGTCGACTAGAATGTCGGGCCGTTAACACAATGGGCATACAGAATAAACCATGCGTCTATCATATAACAGGTAAAATTAGTTGACATTAAACACTCAACATCAATTATTCATTCTCACTGCAGGAAAACCCGTTTCATGAAATTACTTAATAACCCTGATATTTTAATATTGCGGTATTTCACTATATTGGTGTTTTGGTGAAAACATATTTAAATATTTTTTATTCTCTGTCAAAATGTATATTTCGCAACATCGTAAAAAACTATTAGTATTAGTCCCACTTAACAATATTTAGATTTATTCAACGGTAGTTAGTGAACCCAAATATACATTTCATTAAAAAAAAAAAAGTGCTATACTTTTCTTTGGTTTTACACTTTAACATTTTTATTATATAATCATATTTGTGTACAGTTTATATGACTATGAAAACATAACAATAATAAGAATATTATGATTATTTTATTAAATTTATTTTTATTGAAAATTTAAATTGTAACAGCAGTATTTTAATGTGCCTTTTCTTTTTTATTTGAAAAAATAAATATATCTATACATACCACTTCTTTAGGTTATTATAAGATAAGAAAAAATAATGTTTAGGTGTGTAGTTAGTTGTCGGGTATTGAATAATAATATTGCTGTTCTAAAGGTCTTTAATTTAATAACCGTCATAAATGACAGACAGTACAATGACCTTATATTTGTATAATTATATCATAAATATATAAATGATAAAGTTATTGATTCTATAAAAAATGTATAAATACTGAAAGTAAATAATTTATAAATACATTCCCAACATTTTCTTAATGATTACTTAAGTAAAGATTGATGCACTCTATCTAGTTGGCTATTGTTAGACACAATAACTTCGCACTATTATATATTAATACGAAATTATCTATATTTATAAATAAAGATCAAATATTAATACAAATCTAAATTGATGTACTTATTGATTTGTATTTATTTGTTTTATATAATCCGTGTGTATTAAAACAACATCATTATTTTTTTTTTATACATAAACATGAAAATGTGTATATAATATATGTCAAGATATACTTCGTTATTGTATTCTAATGACAAATAACACATATTTAATTTTATTATTAAATTTCAAAACAGTATTATTTATTTACTTAAATTATAGTTAGTATTAACTATAGTTTAACTTATTAATTTATACCCTAACCTTAACCTTATGTTGTATTTATAGATAAAACAATGATCAATCATGGTAGTAGAGATCTTCAAGAAATCACTGATTGCCGGTCAATATTAAAAAAAGAATTATCGAACGAAGACTCAAATACAACTATGACGTATCCTTGTGGAACCAAAGTGGAAGGCATCGTCACCAGCCCTAATAGAAGAACACGATTTTGCATAACATGTTCATTGAACACGTCATTGTTACATTATCAACATCGGTTCAATAATTACGTTTTACAGCTTTTTAAGTCCGCACCTAGAGAAACACCTGCAACGGTTGCAGTTGCATTTAATGTTACTGGCGTTATTATATCTGACAATAATAATGGAAATAGCAAGGCTAATATCAACGTGCAAGATGATGATGATGATGATGATTACTATTTTGATCCCGAAGAAGACGTGGTAGGTCGCAATATTGGTGATTATAATCTGGATACTAAGAATGCAGTTCAGAAAGTGGTATTTGTAATCGACGACAGCGTAGCACCTGGAATATATCGTGGAAGGATTTACAATAGTTATGGGGGCACCATATCTGCGATTATCAAAGGAATGATCAATGTTGCAGCAGCGCCATTTAATGATGTCAATGACAATGATAGTTCCAACTATATTATTGACGACATCGGGGATAACACTGGTAAGTTTATTAGCTTCAACTTTTTTAACACAAAACACATAATCAATTCAAGTATCAAACACACATTAATGTAATAAAATATGATTTTGGTTATTTTAATTTAATCTCTAAATGTTAACATGCAAATTGTTTAGCTACTTTAGCAGATATCGTATCTCTAAAAACTTTTTATATTGCCATGTATAAATTATGTCAGAATTTAATTTGTATGTAACCTTTTAGTGACAACTAAACATTTTTTACGAACCACACGCCTTATACACAGTAATAAATAAGTTTAAATTAATGTAAATAAAAAAAAACATTCTGTAGAAAAAATATTAGTTACAAACCTCCATATAATTGACATGAACAATAGAATAAACTTATGTTCTATCTATTTTCATTAACTATATTAATAACAGCTATAACATCATAAATACATGAAGAGAATTTAATTTTATGTTATAGATTTATATAGTATAATTTAACATAGGTACCTATTATTTAATACTTATATATAACAAATAAGCTAACGTATAATACTACGTAGATTTTCACTAAAAATTAAAAAGGTTCATTTTCTGTTTCCGCCAAAAAAAAGTTTAGCAACCAATTATTTGCATTTTTAGGTGATTTTTTTGGATCAAGTAATATTACCTAAAAGTAAAAGTGCTTTGAAATTTTAAAGTAATCATAAATAGGTACTGTACAATAATGTACTAAAATAATCTTAGATAATAGATGTATAAATAAATTGTTTGTTTTAATTATAAGACTTTTTTTTAAGTATTATTTAAATTTAAAACTAATTTTCCTATGTTTAGTTTTACCATTACATTTAAAAATATTTAAATAAGATCAAATTTCAATTATTTTTCAAAACAATAATTTATTGACTTATATTTTAGATTTTGAGCGGAATGATAAATTTATTAATTTTACAACGATGTGTTTTTTATTCTTTTTTTGTTTTGTATTTATTATCAAATTTTTAGTCAGAAAAAATACTTTGCCATTGAAAGGCAAAGAGGTGATTAGATTAAAACTCAAAAATGAAATACGTCAAAAAAAAATTTAAAAAAAGACTGGTATTTTTACACAAAATCAGTTTTTGGCAAAATCGATGTTCCTAATTTATTGTAATTCAAAAACAAATAACGGTAGATTCTTACAATTTTTAATACATTTTTATACATTAACATTAATTTATTTCAATAAAACATAATCAAATTTTCGAATTTTTTTTTTTAACATTTTTAATTTTTAGTTACTCGTAATTGAAATTTTTGATTACTTCCTATTTATTTTCGAATAGTTAAAAAGCTTGAAAATTCAATACAAGCGGTTCTTCGTAAATATTTATTAATAAGATAAAAAAAAAAAAAAATGATTATAAATCAACAATTTTTTTTTTTTTTTATAAGCGCTAGAAATTAAAATTTTTGTTAAAATCAATTTCTAATTATTTATTTGATATTATGATATGTATTATTCTTCTTAGGAAATTGTGAACTATAAATTTTGATGGTTAAAATAATTAAAAAATGTTCTCACCGCTATAAATTGACCACCCTATAAAACCAAATAGTTTCCGCATTTTCAAAAATTCTGCTATTGTGTTGAAAGTGTATTATAAACGCGTTGAATATTTAGGTGAAACAGTAAAGCTAAAATCAGTTACTGGAAAATCGAGCAACCCAAATTAAACGATTGTATAGATAACAGCTATACTATCTGTTCTTAACGCTATATTATGAACGCGTGCACGCATACTGCAGACGCACAACAACAATCATAGTAATAATATATGTATCTTAATATAAATGTGGTGTGCATGAAAAATAAATAAAATATATTTAAAAGAATTATAACTTTTGTCAGCTCTCGCGGGTTGAAAGGGGAAATATGAGGAGCTTTGGTGTAATGGCGTGCACACCCGACGGACCGGAAACAGCCGAGATAATCCTTGTTCCTCTCTCCCAACTTCCGGTACCAGGTGTATCGCTTCCTTCGTCTTCGCAGTCTTTGTGACTATGCGAATCTTTGTATAAAATGCGACGAAGGCGTTGTTGGCATAACAATATTCCGTATATTATGGGCGAGCGTTATACCCGTACGCGCGCACACATACATAATAATAATAGCTACTGTGTGCAATCGGAAGCTGTGTTTATCGATGTGTGATTTTTGATTGTAACAACAAGTGTGTGTATTATACAAAATATGTGTGTACACGTTGGTTCAAAAGAAAACAACGTCATTTTCGTATATAGTCAGCGACAACTGGAGATAGTAATCTGTTATAGGTGGTGACGGTGGTATAGAGTGTGAGTAGTGGGGATATATATATATATTATATACGTATAATAAACACCTTAATACCTTTAACACCACTGTTGCCGCCGCGAATGTCGACAATGAACGAACAGCAGTAAAATGATTATACGTGCGTTTCCGGTACGATAGACACTTGTACGAGAGACAAGAATAAATGTTTAATACGTGAGAGATATGACTATGTATTTGCAGGTGCGTGATAGATAGGAGACGACCAAAAACACGAGGTTATATTATTATTATTTTATTATTCTACATAATAATACAGATGGATAACGATAGCGTATGAGCTGGTTAAGGTGTACTACGTGAGCAGACATTTCCATATACAACGAATTTATAAATATTTATTTTTTTAAGTAGTTACTTTCCCTATGTAGGTTTAATATTTTTTCTTATTCATAGGTTTGTGACTTAAAAATTCTATGAAAAATACAAACTTGATATTAGGGACATCAAAAGCAATTTATAATATTGATGTTAAACTATTTACTTGTATGCTGGTTTAGTCTCTAGTTGGTCAAACATTTTTTACGTCTACTGACTTGTACAAAATGTTATTTACCCATGATAATAGTAATATTATTTCATTGTTTTATTACACATGTCACACACTCTACTAACATGATGACACAGAAAAATATTATACCGAGTTTTGTTTCATATCTATGCATTTATATCTACCTATTGTGTATAATAATATACACTTTATATTCATTATATATATTACCTAAGCGAACAACTAATAACAGAGCTGATTAACGGATCCTGAGGTGTTTTATACTTTTGGAAAGTGTTTAAGGGTAAATATACTATACAGTCACTTTTAAAGCAAATAAGTACTATATACAAGAAGAAGAATAAATTATCGGCATTACGTGTAAGTTCAATCATCCTTGTGACCTTGTAGAAAACAGGCACGTTTCACATAATCAGGATTTATTTTGATATTTTGTATAGAATAAGTGAAATTATTTTTTTAATTATTATATTTAATAATAAAAAAAAAAAATAATAACAGTATTATTAGAAAAATGAAAACTGAACAAATATATTGGTTGGAGTAGCCCAGAGTAGGTCTTCCCTTTATAAGATAAATAGATATCCTGTTTTTTTTTTTTTTTTAATTCTTAATAGTTAAAAATGTTGATTTATTTTTTGAAAATAATATTTTATAAATCGATTATTACTTATTACCAGGATTAAAAAGTTATAGCACAAAGAAAATACAATTTTATGGTTTTAATGTGCTCTTAAAAACACCAAAATACACGCAAAAATATCAATAAAAATTAGTAAATATGCAAAATTAAATTGACAACAAAATTTTTTATTTTTTATTTTTTTTGTTTTAATAAAAGAATTCTTAGATTTATTTTTAATTAAACAAATTTTATATAGTTTATGCTAGTTAATATTTAGGAACTCTATAGATATTTGGTCCTACTATGAAACGCAAATAAAATGTATTTGAAATTTGAAAATGTCAGTACAATGCGTCTGACAAAATATTTTAAAAATAACCAAATTATTTGAAATGAATGGAAACAATTATCTGAGGTCATCGCCAATAACATTCGTTAACGTATCAACTATTGTTTGAAAATCAAAATGTATATTTTTGTTCACATATTTAAAATATTAGAAATAAACATTATATACAAAATGAATTACTTCCGTATTATAACAATTTTTTTTATGTTTAACTGTAACTATAAATTATAATAATATCACCTGTTTTAATCAGATAACTATATGGCTGTTTAATATCTTAAATCTGGATGTATATAAATAAATTAATCTCCATCTACATTCCAAAGCCAGCTAGACTTAAGAGTACTCTATTATGGGGATTTTATTTCATCCGTTTTTAAGGAGTATTATAGTATACGAGTAGACAATTTTTTATGTACATGCGTATGGGACGTGTAAATGTGTGCGTACTGTGTAGTAAGTGACCGTTAATGTGTGTGGCTATTTATAAAATAAATACCTGAAAGCTCTATCAAATGCTCAAACATGTCAACAATACCCTACACAATATTAATTATTTTGTTACTAATTTAAAATCACTTCAAAATTATTAAAATTTTAAAATCTTATTTTAAAGAGTCTTTGAGTTGAATTAAAAAAAATAAACTTCATAACGAATATAAATATATTTATAGAAATTTTTCCGAAAACTAAAATAATCGATGCGATTAATTAAGGTTTATTTTGATATAGAAAAAACAGGATGGAATTATCTTAAAAATTTAAAATAGGCAACTTAAATAAATTGTATAGAAAAACTATTGTGAATTAAAATATATTTTTATACTTCCATAAAGTATATTAAATGCGGTCACATATTATCGTAGTCACATATGACTAAGTCAATAACTATTAAATTAAGGTGAATAATTATGAAAATATATAGAAATTATTATATATACTGTTCCGAATGGTTTAACTTTAAATCTCTTAACCCAATAGGTAGTTATTATTAGGAAATCATAATTTTATGAAATGTACAAGACAACTATTTGTAACCACTATTCCATTATGTCTATTATTCGATAATATACCATTATTTATAGTTAACAAAAACAATATTCAGTTCATTAAAAAAAAATTTTAAAAAAACAACAATATAGTATAATTATTTTTAAGGGACTTAATAATTATCCACAAAATAGTGT